ATCGGCGACGAAAAGCTTGTGAAAACTAAGCTTCACAGCTTAGCACACCGTCGCCAAGTTGCTTGTCTGTCGGTTTTCTACAGACTGTACTTCGGGGAGTGTGCCCACGAGCTCCACAGTCTCATACCGCCATCGCCATTCTTCTATCGGAACAGCAGACGTACTGCAGGATACCATCCTTTCTTGGTTGACATTCCGACCACTCGCACTAAGCGCTATTCGTCATCTTTTATAATGCGCACAGCCAAGATGTGGAATGCGCTGCCTGCGTCTGTTTTTCCGAGTGCGTATAACCTGAACCTATTTAAGGTGCGTGTTAACAGGCTTTTCCTGGGCAAACTCGCTAGATCGTAGACCTTATCTGTGCCTTCGAGCTAAGATAAAGGTCAAGAGTGAGCCCATTTCTAATAAAAAAAAAAAATCTGTACATAAAATATTTTTTGGAAAATCTTATTGAAATAAACATTATTATCGATACAGAGACGGAATCTATAGTTTTTAGAATTTTTGTCTGTCGGTCTTTCTGTCTCTATGTCTGTCTGTCTGTATGTCCGTCTGTCTGTTACCGCATCACAGAAAGACCACCGAAGGGATTTTGATGAAATTGGGTATGGTGATATCCGGGTCAACATATAGGATACTTTTTACCGCGGGAAAATGTCTCATTAAAAAAAAATACTATAATTGTAATGTAAGAGTTCACTGATATGTAAAACCTAAGTATTTGGTTTTTGGTCATCTAAACGCGGGCGGAGCCGCGGGCAATGCTAGTCTTTTAATGAATAAAAAATAAGGATGTACAATGTACCTACATAAAGACTTATTGGACTAACACTGCGCTCTACATTAAGGTTTGCGCGAATAAATTGCAGGTAGGCGAGGCGAGATTACAATTGATATAAAATTTATTACTCCTGTGAAATATTTCAGTGATTGTGTTTCTTTAAAAATGTTAGTGATTGTAATCTATATTTAAATTGAAACATTAAATATTTAATGTGTTGTAGTAGACTTTAGGAGTCATCTTTTAAAGGGAGATTTGAAATTTGATTCTAATAATCATAATCATAACGAAAAGTAGTGGCGCGTGAAGGAAATTATTGTATATTTATGAACTAATTATTGCATATTTTTGACTTGTGAAGGTTTGACTGTCTGTATTTGTGTACTTAAAAGAATTATAAACCATTACAAATGTGACCCAGTTATCAATATATAAAATAAATATTATCGTCAGCAGATTTTCCCATCGGTCTATGGAAATTAAATTAGAGCTTAGCTCAAATATTACAATTATTACTAGCTCAAATATTGCTAGGGACTCACCCTTGCTCCGATCGGACTCATCCCGTTACGTTTTAACTAAACGTTAAAACGTAACGTAACTGTACTAAACGTATATATTTCTCAGAGATGAGATATTTTCCCGCAGTAAAAAGTATCCTATATGTTGATCATACCAAATTTTATCAAAATCTGTTTTTAAAAAGTGATTTTCTCGTGATGCGTTTCCAGACAGCTATCTGTCTGTCTGTCTATATAGACAAAAATTCTAAAGACTATAGATTCGGCCTCTATATCAATAATAATAACTATTTCAATAAGATTTTCCAAAAAATATTTTATGTATAGATTCGACTCAGAATTTTATTATACATATGTATAGATAACATCATTATTTATATGTTTGTTTATTTATTTATTAATTATATGCTATTTATTTATTAATTTATTTATTTACATCAAAAAATTTATCAATTCCCTTACCGCAATTCCTTAATTTTTAAAAATATGCCAACATATCACATTTGCGAGTTCCAGCAAATATTTTACGTTCAAGACGTAATGTCTTTCTAGGGAATGGCTGCAAAGGACTTAAGCTTTGAATAATTTATTTTTTATAGCAACGAAATAGGATTTCATGCACGACTAAAAAGTGAAAAAACTAATTTACTTTACGTATTGTATCCAATACACCGTATTATAAACAAAACTCTGGTAGCTCACTCTATGTTTGCGTCGAACAATAATGCTATTATATTGACATAAGACATTTATCAGTAGCACTGTTCGCACCTTCGCCCGCAAATAAATTATTATCGAAAAAACCAAACTGTTGACTTCTACGAGTACATACTCGTATTTGTAGTTTTGTTGGCCGAAAGGATTTTCTAATGATAACGTTTGTAAATTTTTGTTATGATCTTTAATTAAAAGAATCAAGCAAATGCGAGTATGACAAATATTGCGTTGTTTTCACTTAAGTATTTTGTTGAGTTAAGTAAGAGTTTTGGTTTCATATATTCTCGTGTCTTTAGAAATAAGTGAATGTTTCTTAGATTTTTTATATACAACCGATATTAGTCGAGTTATACGATTCTAAAGTCGTGAACATTGTATCCAATAACTCTTCTCCCATAACTATTAAAAAATGAAGTAGAAATATCTGAAAAAATTGAGATAATAGCTTCCATAACACTTTTTTGAGATATTTTTAATAACCGCTTTGTCAGTTAAGTGATAACAAAATTAAGTTTGTTTTTTATAATATCTTTAAGAAATAATATAAAAGGCAAAATAATTTCTGCGTCCGATAAAATGTGTATTGTGAAAACATAATTTTATCGTGATGACATGACATTATGACATCATGCCTAAGCCCCCTTATTAGCATACGATATTTGATAATGACGTCCTTTTCATACGTTTTATCTTTTTAAACAATTTTTGTAAACATTAGTTTAGCTAATTTAAAAAATATTACGGTAGCTATTGGTGAAGATAATTAGTAAAATATTCATTTTAAAAGCATTTTTATGTTTCTGCCACTAAGAATTATAAGGATCATCAACCTCGAGATAATTAATATTGCGAACAGAAATATAAGGTTAGCAGCGAGAAGGAAGTAACATTTCCTATCTTCTGCTACGAGTCAGAACAACAGCTCTGAAAAATTTCGTTTATAAAATATTTCATTTTGAAGTTCTAGAGCGGCGATGTAAACATTTTTTATAAGGAAAATTCCCGCAGCATCTGTTTATATAATATCAATGTTGATTTTAAAGCTAATGGGTACAGTACCTTGGATTTTCACGAGTTTTTATCAAACTCTAAAATTAAGAAATATAAATAAAACTACTCTTCATAATCATATTAATCATGTATGAATAGATTAACTATGAATGTACCACTATATATTAATTTAGATATTAAAACACTCTTGGCACATTACTTATAATTTCAATTAATCACTTACTCAGAGTCAATTTATGAAATTTAAGAGCGACCAAATCATTAAATAATTTTAGTGAAAAATTTGAATTTTTAATTTAAGCAAGATGGTAATCTTATATTACTCTTCAACGTCTCGCTTTCGCAACAAGAGGGTTTCACTGGTAGGTTTCATCTATTCTGAGTCTAATCATTAATTTAAAATGGTCGTCAACTTCCGGAAATGAGGTGAAAATACGAATCTCTTTAAAATAATTAAAACGAAGTTAGATTTACAAAAAATATTTCATTAAATGATACAATTTTAAAACAAATATTTTTTTTCTACTTTTCGGTCATCGTTACGTTTGCGTCGACTTTTGAAAATAGTATTTTGAGCCCTCTGATTGCTAAAGATATTATATTAGGTTCTTTTAATTACTTGGGCCCAAAAAATTAGCTTAATCAAAGTAAAGTTTTCGATTTTAGACTTTGTATGGGTATTGGTTTAAAGTGCAAGTCAATCAAGAGCGCACCAAAGGGTAGAACAAAGACCTTATTCATAATATTAGATCAAAACTTTCCAGTTTTAACTGCGACTGCTGTGGTCGAAATCGGTTAAGACATCATCATCATCATACAATATAATATTATCATACTATTATTATAATAAATATAAAATATAATTTTATTTAATTTAATTAAACTTGAAATAAGAAGTTGTAATATAAAAATAATAATTGTTATATAATTAAATTGTATGTGTATTTGTAATTTAAGTTACAACGCCATCTAGCTTACACCCAAAACAACGCGAAGTATGGTTCCTGAATAAGTCTGATGTTTTATTACCACAGCATCTAGCTAGCTTTTAAAGCGTTCCTTATTCATTCTCAAAGAGGACACTAAAAAATAAATAACTTTCTTATACTATATTGGAAAAGTGGCAAAATTTTACTAGTAAACTTAAAATGTTCAAATAGTCCTACTTTATATGGATTAAATAATAAATTAAAAAAAAAACAGGTTTATAAATGTTTTTTTCAGTTATTACTTTCGAATAGCTATAAAATAAAAAACTTAAATATATTTAGTTTTTTTAGTACAAGTAAATAAATGTTCAGAAATATATATATTATGTTTTTTAATCATTTTAATGCATAGTTTTTACAATATTTTCTACTTTATATATGTAAAAATATACTATATTATAATTCTATTAGTTAAACAAAAATTAAAGGTCTATTCTACATGACTCCATTTGAATTTCCCGTAAGAGTCATAACTTAAAGTGCGATTACAGAACTAATATATAAATATTACCTATATCTAAGGCCACGTTTAAATCTTATGGGAAAATAAATATAAGCCTTGCAAAAACTAAATTTTTAGATAGAATCTGTTCAAATATATTAAAGATTTGAAACAGTTTCATGAAATAAAATACACCAGTTTAGAACTTCAAAGTATAAACTACCTAGTTTACATTTGATTTAAATAATATTAAAATTATGTATTGCATCTACACTTTGAATGCACTAATTCTATAAGCAGTTTAGCTATTTCGAGCTAACGTAGTGCAACGCCAACCAACTAGACTGTGACACAATTAGGTGTACATTACAAGGTGTAGTAGTATAATCCAAAAATAAGCTCATTTGCATATGAATCAAAAATCATTTTGCTTGTGTAAATATAACGTGAATATGTATATTAATTTTATTAAAACGGCAAATAATAAAATTTAATTAGTGTTTTATAAAGTTTAGTTCATATGGATGTGAGTAATAATGGCAGGGAAATGCTTTTCATACTTGATAATACTATATTGCCTGTATTATGTACAAGGAGATAGAAATTTAGGTGAGTTATATTTTTAATAATTTGATAATATCGTGTAGATTATCAGCCATTAACACATACTTGTCGTTGTTATTTATACTAGTTTTATTATATGCCAGGAATTAATTTTTGTAGGAGCAATTTTTGACGATGGAGGATTCTTGTACGAAGCTGCCTTTAATATTGCTATTGCGGCAGCATCTGAAAATGAAGAGAATCCTTTCGTACCAAGTATTTATAAAACCGCTCCTGAAGATATTTTAGAAGCGGAAAATGCTTTCTGTACCATATTAGGGGTAATTTATACATATTTGTTTGAAAAATATTTATTTTTAAACTTTTATAAAGATAAAATAATATGCCCCCATAAAACATTATGTTTAATATTACAGGAATCTACGTTTGGAATCTTTGGCCCTACTAAGAAAATAACACTACATCACATTCAAGCTATTGCCGATTTTAAAGAAATCCCTCAAGTCATAACGGAACCAGTTGAAATCCAGAATCGCAATTGGTCGGCAGTTAATTTATATCCACATCACATTGCATACTCTAAGGTTTTATATTTTCATAATTTATTTCTTTCAATTTTAAGTAAGTGAGCATTTACCAACATTCAATTCTGCAGATTTTTGCCGATATAATCCAAACGAAAGGTTGGACAGACTTTACGATAATTTATGAGGGCGCTGAACTTCTGCCATACTTAGATAGTATAATTACAATGGAAGATATAGATTCGGGAGATCATATTTTAATTAACGTTGTACAACTTCCTGATGGAAATGATTACAGGTACATACATATGATGTTTTAAAATAAAACTGACTGAGAAAAATATCACGTGAGACCGAGATCGAGCCTTTGTAATTTTTCTAATAGACGAGATCAGAGATTTAAATTCCACATAGAATATATTTTGCACTGACTTTTAAACAAAGGGAGGGACCCTTTGTATGTCTATATGTGTAAAGTAGAAACAACAGAAAGCTCAATGGAAATGAGTCACGATTGTAATAAAATTAACTAAATATTTATTTTCAGATCACAATTAAAGACGATTAAAAGTTCGGGCACAGTGAATTATTTAGTCAGTTGTAGAATAGAAAGTTTAGCTATATTTCTAGAGCAAGCTCAACAAGTAGGAATAATGTCCGATGAACATAGTTACATTATAATGAATCCTGATTTCCAAACTATTGACATTGGGCCCTTTAAGCATGGTGGCTCTAATATAACAGGTACTTTAACTACATTTTACATTTTAATTTATACATATAATAAAATTGTAACTAAGCCGAATCTGTACATTAAATATTTTTTGGCAAATCTTATTGAAATAAACATTATTATCGATACAGAGGCCGAAACTATACATTTTAGAACTTTTGTATGTCTGTCTGTTACCGCATCACAGAAAAACCATTGGAGGGATTTTGATAAAATTGGGTATGATGATAGCTGGTTATCCGGGTCAACATATAGGATACTTTTTACCGCGGGAAAATTTCTCATTTCTGAGAAAAAGTACAAAAACTGCAACGTAAGAGTATACTAATATGTAAAACCTAAGAATTTGGTTTTTAGTCATCTGAACGCGGGCGGAGCCGCGGGCAATGCTAGTGATATATCAAAAAAACAATTAAATAAATATATTGTCTTATTTATTAGGGATTAGATTGTTCGATCCACAACTCGAAGACATTCAAAATTTTATCACTTCTTTAAATGAAAAAGTAAAGGAACTTTCAGAGGGACAAATGGAAAATGCAATTCAAGAGAACAGTCTTAGTCTCAATTTGGCTCTTGTATATGATTCGGTTATGTTATACACCTCAGCAATAAAGGCGTTAGATTTAGAAGATAGTGCTAATTTTACTTGCGATAGTGGCGAGACGTGGCCATTTGGATCTACGATTATTAATTACATAAGGACCGTAAGTTTTTTCTTTATATTTATTGAATTGTATTATAATTATATTTTTTTACATTTTTAAAATTTAATTATTTTAGATGGAAGTCGATGGTTTAACCGGAACTATAAAATTTGATGAGGAAGGATTCCGTTCAGATGTTGAAGTTGATATTGTCGAGGTTATGGCGTATGGTCTTGAAAAGGTCGGCTAAAATAAGTAATATATCATTTATACAAGAATAATTAAATATGTATATTATTTCATAAATTTTAGATAGGAACATGGACATCCGAAGATGGCTTTACTGAATCGAGGAAAATTATTCCCGCAGTTGAACAAGAAGGAAGTGATTCTATGAAAGGAAAACATTTCATTGTTTTAACAGCATTGGTAAATTATATGAAAATATTAAAAATTAATACGAAATTTCATCTTATAACGTTTTATAAATATTTACAGAGTGCTCCATATGGTATGTTGAAAGAGTCATCCAAAAAGCTTGAGGGTAATGACCGATATGAAGGCTTTGGTATAGAAATCTTCGAAGAACTGGCAAAAATGAACGAATTCAACTATACATTTGAGATCCAAGCCGACGGAGTTTACGGATCATATGACTCTAAGACGGGCAAATGGACTGGAATGATGGAGAAGATAATGGACGGTGTAAATAGCATTCTTTACCTATATCTCTGAAATCCTTTTCATATTTAAACAATTTAGTAGTAAGATATGGTAAATTGTTTATATTTTACAAACACATCATTTGTTTTAGAAGATTTACCTTTTAACTTCACATTTTATTTCAGAGAGCTGACTTTGCAATTACTGATCTAACAATAACATCTACTAGGCAAAAAGCCGTAGATTTCACGAGTCCTTTCATGAATCTAGGTATTACAATATTATATAAAAAACCTACTAAACAACCACCTGATTTGTTTTCATTTATTTCACCTTTTTCTTATCAGGTAAATAAATTACATATGTTGTGTTAAGTATCAAATAAAAAAGTATATATTCATATATTGCCCAGTTACTCAAAATCACAACAGTAATAGTTTTTTTTTTTAGATTTTAATTGATATTAAATCAATAATTAAAAAATAAATTACTTTAATTTTCATATATAAATAGGTGTGGGGTTGGTTAGCGGGAGCATACGTAGGTGTTTCAGCGCTACTATTTATACTTGGAAGATTTGCTCCTGAAGAATGGCAAAATCCTTATCCTTGTATAGCAGAACCGGAAACATTAGACAACCAATGGACTTTTGCTAACTCGTTCTGGTTCACATTAGGAAGTGTGCTCACACAAGGATCCGAAATAGCACCCATGTAAATATTTTTTTTGGTGTAAATAAAAATCAGATATGAACAATTGCATTTACTTTACTGTATTAAAATAATATTACAAGTCTTAAAAGAGCAATTTAAAACTTACTACAGGAACTACTTTCTCGTATTTTTGGTGATTCAATATTTTTATTTGATCGAATTACTTTTATTATTTACTTTGTATATTGTCTTAATTTATATATATTTTATTTCAGTGCTGTATCGACAAGAATGGCAGGGAGTATGTGGTGGTTTTTTACCTTAATTATGGTATCGTCCTACACAGCCAACCTTGCCGCATTTTTGACAGTTGAGTCGAAATTTTATGCTATCAAAAGTGTTTCAGATCTGGCTAATAATCCGTATGACATAACTTATGGCGCGAAAAATGGTGGTGCGACATTCGGATTTTTTAAGGTAGAGCAAAATATATTTCAAAAGCCTTCTTTACCCTAAAATACTCGTAAGCTCTATCTCCACAAATGTATTTGTATGTATAATATTTATCACTCAGTATTAACTTCTAAATTTTTAGGAATCAGATAATTTACTTTATCAAAAGATGTACCTTTATATGGATAAGCATCCAGAACTAATGACCCAAACAAATGATATTGGACTTGAAAGGTACGTTAGTATTTTTTTTATTGCGAATATAAATTTTGATAGTTAAAAAATAATCCAGCTAATAATAATATTTATATAATTGACTCGCTAGACTCATACTCACTTCGCTCGGGTTCGTCCCTAGGTTCATTTTAGGGGTTAGTATAGAATAAAAAAACTCTGTGAAAAACAAAAACAAATATATCCCACGGGAACCGTACATTTTTCCATTTTCGATAAAAAGGGCGAAAAAAACTATGTGCTATTTCAGACTATAATCTATCTATGTGCTAAATTTCATCCAGATCCATTCAGCTGTTCTGGTGTGATTGAGTAACAACGTCCATCTACCCATCCACCCATCTTCACAAACTTTCGCATTTATAATATTAGTAGGATGGTTTATAATATTAATGGGATTATTGTTATTTTAGGGTAAAGTCTGAAAATGAAAATTATGCATTTTTAATGGAATCGACATCAATCGAATATATGGTAGAGAGAAATTGCGATGTTGCTCAAGTGGGCGGGCTATTAGATAGCAAAGGCTACGGTATTGCTATGAAGAAAAGTGTGTATTTATAAATTAACGATTTTATTACCTATATTTATACGTAGCATTTCTACAGATACAATAAAATTGCAGATTCTCCATACAGACAACCGATGAGCGAATCGATATTGCAATTACAAGAGCAAGGCAAAATTACAAGGATGAAAGACAAATGGTGGAAAGAAAAAAGAGGAGGCGGTGCATGTGCAGTAATTATTGACTTTTATTTGTTAATAATATGTTAACGAACTAACTTAATATTTAATTTAAATCAAGATAGACATGCGGGTTGCTCCTGGTACTTCTCTGATAGCAGAGTGGACCTTGGAGCAACCCCATGGTTGTGGTGGTCTGCTTCGGCAGACCTGTCATCGGGGCGTCGTAGTTGAATGCGTAAGCGATCCTGCGACGCCCCATTAAGACGGGGGAAGGTTTTGTTGGGTTTTAGTGGGTAGTACTGGCTGTATTACGCCGGTGAGTCCCACACGTCGTGCGTAAATGCATTTCCCAACGTTAAAAAAAAGGTCTAATGTATAATATTCTGGTTCGTAGTTATAATAAAACTATAATTATAAATTTAAAATTTAAAAAACCCTCTACGCAAATTTATCATCATTTAACAATTACACTGGCACGTGAGAAGCACTTTATCGAATAATCATACGCCAAAATGTCTTACATCATTTTGGGAAAGAGCTGATACTCTTACACTACTGGACCTGGCTTTCAAATGAAAAAAACCGCATCGAAATCGGTCCATTCGTTTGGGAGCTACGATGCCACAGACAGACGCACACACACACAGACAGACAGACATCGATGTCAAACTTATAACACCCCTCTTTTTATGTCGGGGTCTAAAAATATACCTCTTTCGTTCTTACCACTTATAAAATTATTCTTTTAGTTATACATTTTTTGTAGCCAGCCTATATCAAAGAGTTTATAAGAATAGTAGAATAATAAGAAGAGAAGAATGTTTTCCATATATGTATGTATATAGGTATGTACTATATTTGTATAATATGTCATATTATAATGTCATAATACGATTGTTGACATTTTTTTTCTTTTTATGCGCCCAACGCACCCTGCATAAATAGCAAGCTTTCGGATCCTTGCAAATTTTTATTAAGCTCAACTGTAAAATCACTTATGTGATAAAAGAAATACAGTAATATGTAGGTAATAAACTTTTTAAAGGACGACGATGCAAGTAGCGGAGATGCGCAACCTTTAGTGTTAGCGAATGTGGGCGGCGTGTTTATAGTTCTGGCGGCCGGATCTGGCTTGGCGATTATTTGCGCCTTTGTGGAAATGATCATTGATGTTTGGATGATCTCGCACAAAATGAAGGTATTTGTTTAATTTCTTCACTTACTATGTATACTTTGCACTTAATATATTCCAAAGTTATAATTTAATTCTACACAAAAGTTATTGCTTTTACATAAATCCATGTGTTTACGTTATATTAGGCATGGACATTTGTTTTGTAGTCATTTGAACTTTTTAGCAGAATTGCATGATCCAGCACCATTCCCTCTCCTTTTGTTTGTCAACCAACGTCGCTTCTTAAATAAGGTATCATATTATCTCATCCATACATTTATTTTATACGTTCTATTATTATTTTTTTATTATTTTTTATTGGGGAAACATCAAACAAACAGTGTTTACAAATGTTTATCAATAGTTTATATAAATGGTACATAGACTAATAAAGTTTCCACTGATACGTAAATTATATCGAGTTATTTAAAATATATTTCAACAATTTTGTGTAATTTGAAATTTTTCAACTTTTTTGATTTATTGGTATATTGCATATTAGAAACTCTAAAAAATAAATAAATCTTAATTTTTTTTCAGGTGTCATTTATAGATGAATTGATAGCGGAATTAAAATTCGTATTCAGTTTTAGTGGGGATGTTAAACCAGTTAGACATCGAGAATCAACTGGTAGCGGATCGAAAGGTTCTAAGAAGGAGGATGAAAAAGAAGAAGAAGACGAAGATGCAGAATCCCCAAGAGATGAAGAAGATAGGCTTGAAATGGTACCTACACCACACTCAGGGAGATCGAGTCACTCGCATCATACAACTCATAGTCGCCGACAAAGTAATGCAGTGCACATGTCCAAAATGCGCAGATATAGCAGACAGCTATCGAATATGACTTAGACGTAAAATCGTAACATTTTAAATCTCCTCCTATTTTGAATGGATTTCATTTAACCAAATATTGTCATAACAACCAAATATTCTTAAAATATTGAAAGTTTAGTGTTAATGCAATAAAATTATGATAGATTTTATGATTTTTTTTTTATTTACTTTTACAAAAGAAGACGTGATCTCCCTTATAAAAAATAGTATTAAAATGACAATATATATTCGATTGTTATCGAACTTCACTCGGTGTTTTTTCGGAAAAGATATAAAAATTGCTTCATCAGAAATGACACCTAGAAACCAAATATAAAAAGTAGAACAAAGACTTGCTCATTTAATATTAAGTATAAGATTACAATTCTTAATGTACTGTAGTATAAGTAGCAGAAGTATTTACGAAATAAGCCAGAACGGTATAAAAGTTAAAACTTATTTCCATTTCTCCTCTTAACTCTACCTTAATTATTAAATATTGTCTTAGTACAAATAATATTATAATCAAAAAATATTATATGAATCTTACATATTCTGTTCTGAATTCCGTTCTGTTTTGAACAATTTACAAATACATATATTTATATCGATCTCATTAAAACTAACAAGCTTTTTTTATAAAAAACACAAGATGTAAAGTAATAAGTTTCTGAAGCAATTTGTTCAGCTAATGGAAAGCCGTGAAACATTGTGGTCACCGAGGTCGGTGTCCATTACCAGCGGACACTGAAATAATGATCGTATATATCATTCAATATGCAGACTTATTTGGTTGCTGATATTAAACGACTCGAGTTTCAGATGACGCTAAGAGATATATATATATATATATATATATATATATATATATATATATATATATATATATATATATATATATATATATATATATAAAATAAATAAGATATAAACGCTTAATTGAGGGAATGCTATTCTGTGTATTTCGAAAAATAGCTTGGACAAACACATGGTCAAATTAAAATCACAACACTTTACTGCGCTTATCTTGGCGTTTTGTTTTTGTAAAATCGTATTTTTTCGGAAAAGATATAAAAATTACGTTTTTTCAGAAATGATACAAAAAACAGCTTATCTAAATACAAGATTTAGTCCAAATTGTTAGAGCTGTTTCTGAGATATACAAAATAAATTTATATGTATATACAAGAATTTTTACTCTTAAAAGCTGATTTCAACCTTTTTTGTAATTTTTAAACATCTTGTTAATGAATAAAATATTTTTATTTTATTTTTATTTTAAAGAATTGCTAATTTAATATTATAAGATATCAATATACAGTAGCATTATAAATTCGAAAGTGTCGCTTTGTCTTTCTTACAAGAAGCAAAAGAGCAAAAGATTAATGTAATTTTACACCCAGACATACTTTACGAAAGAGTAAAATTAGCAAATTATCCTAATGTTGCAAGACTAGCAGCAAGTATAAAATATAATATATATGTATTGATGATGATGTGCTCCTGACCGATTCCGGCCACGGCGGCCAATCTTATTGAAACTAGCCAACTGCGCAGGAAATATTATAGTGCACTAGTGTACGCGCAGACACAAGTGCACTCTCTATTCCTGTCACTCTCATACTCCGGTGGAACGACCACTAAAAACGACCAGTGAGAGTTAAGGCGCAGGACCGACGGCTTTACGTGCTCTCCGAGGCACGGGGGTGAAACACCGCCAACTTCCCAACTCCGGGCTGTTACTGAGGCTTACTATACAGAAAGACACAATAACTAAGCTTGGCCTGACTACCTAGCCACTAGACCACCGAGGCAGTTAAAACAATCTAATAAAAAAGAATGGTCACATTCCTATTAATAGTTTCAGAGAAATGCGTGGACAAACGTACATACACCTACAAATGTTTGTATAATTGTTTAGAAATCCTAATAGATTATGATACGTGAATATATTTTTTTATAATATTACATACATACGTGTTGAATTGATTTTGAAGTCCATTAAAAAATAATTAAAATTATATGAATTTTCCATACTACAAAGTGCTGGAGAGTACTTTATATGTATTTCTGTAGCTCCGCCGCCGCCTCACAGTGAAACTCGATTACTTTACCGGACTCAATCAACATTTTTACAGCTACAAATCAGATAAGACAAAACACAGCATTGATTACCACCACCGAAATTTTTCTCCTAACTCCTACACGGCGATTATATTATTCAAATGAAAAAACACTACGGAATATTATTCTACATATAGTATATTCCAGTGGTAACGCGCTCACTTGGGAAACCGAGTGAAGCGGGTTCAAATCCCGGGTCTCGCACCTCTGATATTTTCATGTGCGAATCATTTCCAACATAATTACCACTTGCCTTACGGTGAAGGAAAACATCGTGAGGAAACCTGCATGTCTGAGAGAACCTAGCAAGTTTTCGAAAGATATGTGAAGTCCGCCAACCCGCACTTGGCCAGCGTGGCGGACTATGGCCTGATCCCCCTCGTATGTAAGAGAGGCCCGTGCCCAGCAGTGGGACGTTAAAAAGGGCTGAATACAAGTATATTCCATCGTATAAACATAATAAATTGCAAATAGCTATAATTATGTTATAAAAACAGTATAAATTATTACTAAAACACAATAATTTACAATCCTTAAGTGGTTTTATAAAATACCAAGCACTAAAATATATCTTTATTTTACGTCTATGGAACTGTTATTCTCATATTTTCATAATATTTGCCATTAACTTAAAGATCACGAACATGTTCCTCCATTAAAGGATATCAGGATATAGCACTTTCGGTAAATTTATTGCTTTACTATACAATGGGAGTTAATAAATCCTTAATAAAATATGGCTCGATTGAGAATCGGAAAAAGATAAATAACACAAATCAAATCTTTTGTTTGCGACATTTTACATTATATTGCTTCATCTATTACATTGTAATATTTTTTATGTTATATGTTATCTTAAAACAATAGAAAATCAGAAAGAAGTTAAAATGTGCAAAAGATTAAAAGATTCAAAGATAGGTGAACATATTATAGCTGCTAATATTAGTCTGCTATAATAATATACTTTTTTCATTACGTAAATAGTCTAGAAAAATTACAGAAAGTATTATTTCGAAACGGTTAGAGAAGTACAATCGATCAGCTCTGACTATATTTTATTTTATTTTAAGATGTATGCATATGCATGCATATATATAAGCCAAAATAATAATAATTAGACACACAATTACCTCGTATACCATTTATTTTTAAAATCTTTTAACATCGTTAAAACAAAATGATTTCTTATATTTAGAATATTATTAAATTAGGAATAAAAGTGTAAAATCATGTAGTGTTTACTATTAATGGCTTTCCACTTGGCTTAATAGCAACTTCGAAGATCTTATATAAAATTCAAATTCAAAAAATTATGTTCATGTTTTTAACTAATAAGTACGTATATTGTATAATAGAAAAATGTTTATTCAAGAATATTCACGTCGTCTCGCAAAGGCTACACTTAGACCTCCAGAAGAGTGTCTCGAACTATGAGAATGATGAGTTTTATGAGTATCAGTAGATTTTCCTGAACCTAGAGATTTTAATGATCTTATCTCATCTTTGCCTTCTGTCAATTCTGCTAATTTTTCCGCACTACCGCTTTCCGTTTTGGTCGGACGTTTCACTGGTTTGATGTCACCACTGAATTTAAGAGCGAATTTCAATTCTTCTATCAATTCATACTTGAATGTTGTCTGTAAAGAATATTTATTATATTTCATTATTTGATTTATTCGAAGAAGATATTTGTTTAGATGAAATTGGTTAATAAAGATAATACTTAAAAATGAGCGAAAATGACTTTCTTTTCCTGCCGGTAGAATATTAGAGTCGGAATAAATTTGGTTATAATGCTAAAATTTCATAAACAAAAAAAATATATAAGATAAAAGGAATATTTAAAACTTTTTTAATGAATATACAAATTATGAATCTATTCGTTTGTGAAATTAAAAATAATAAACTATTAGTTTATTTGATTCTATTTGTTTATAAAGCATCTTAACATCTTTATATTTATAAAGATAATAAGAAAAATAAAATTGCAATACAAAACTTACATTGTATTTCACCGAACGTTTAAAAACACCCCACAACATGTCTAGTATAGAAATGAAGAGACCAATGAGGCACCCGACCCCGAGTACCACGAATGCGCCTAGCATGTTCTTCATGCCCAATTGCTTTTGATCTTCACTTTGTTTCTCCTAAAATATTTATAATGTTAGAATACAAAAACTACGACTCTATTCATTGACTGCACAATGATTATAAAATATCGATTTTTTTCTCATGATCCTCTTGGTCATAGGCTAGTTGACTGCTTTTATCTATAAATATATATGTAACATATATAAAAGTAACCTAAGTATTAATTCGGATACAAGATTCTAAGTTTTGTTGTGACGAGTTGAGCTTCATACACTGATTCACTCACTCAAAAACTTTCGCATTTATAATTATGTATAATAACTAATTTCGAAATATTGATAGACATAGATGCAAATACATATAAATATATATTCCCACCTATCTTGGTCTATTTGTAGTAGTTTATCGCTAGAACGGCTCAGATAATTTAAGCAAAAGTTTTAAAGACGATAAGAGGTTTTATGCGAGAAATACATTATAAGCCTCTTTTTATATACGGAAACAAAAAGGTATCACGTGGATTAAAGAATAAAAGTTTTATAATTTTTTTGGCACGGAGTATAATGAGGGTCGAAAAAATGTGAGTGCGCGGTTCTAGTACAAATCAAAAATATTATTACACTTGACAAAATGAAATTTAAATGAGTAAATATTGAATATTTTATCGTTCCTTTTGGCATCATTGGAATTGTGCATTTTTTTATTCTTATCATCGAAATATAAATTGAATTGTAAAATTTAAACTTACGCCACATTTTCCTCCACCCCTTTTTTCTTTCCACCATAGATCCTTTAATTTTTGTATTTCTCCTCTTTCTTTTAAGTTCAAAATGGCATCATCTATATACTTTTTGTATGGAGAACCTAAAATTTAATTTGATACTACATACAAACATACACAACATTTATCAATTGTTAGATTTGTAAAATATTGGAAATTCGTTCTGATATTCAGGAGCTTACTACAAAGTAATAATAATAACATACATATTGTTTATCTTACTTTTGTACTGAAATAAATGTTATCATTTCCTATGTAATATATTTATTCTATAATATTTTATTTCAGCCATTAGTCTTACCTTTTTTCATACCAATGCCGTAACTTTTCGAATCTAACAATCCACCCACTTGAAGCAAATCACAATGTCTTTCCTTATAATATTCTATGGATGCGGATTCCATAAAAAATGCATACGTCGAATTTTCTGCTCTATAAAATAGTTGTTCTCTTTAAACTAAATAAAGTATTTTATGAAATACTTTCTTAGATTTACGCGAATATTTGACATTTTAAATAAAACTATCTTTTCGGATTATTTCGCGGATTTATTTTGATTTTTGGTTCCCGACGTTTCAAATGCTTTATACGAAAATAAATCCGCGAAATAATCCGAAAAGATAGTTTTATTTAAAGTATTTTATGATAATTAAAATTCTATAATATTTATTAAATTTAATTAAAATCATTAACTTTATATTAGGTACTTTTAATTTACTAATAGCCAAAAGCAAGTATTAGTACTCTGTACTAAGTTATATGAAAACATATAATATTTAAATATTGTAACACTTTCTGTATGCTTATGAAGATAAAAGAGATACGAGAATATTATGTATACAATGTAAAACAGGAAAAAAGAATAACATTTTTTTAAAACAAGGATACTAAAGAGGATTTAAAATAATATGAATTGTGTAAACAAAAAAATAAATCTGTAAAAAGTAGTTATTATTCATAGCAAAAACAATAAAAAAATATTACAACAATTTTGTATATTTAAAAAAAAAATCATAATTAGCGTACCGTGCAACGCCGTCGTTGTTTTCTTTGACGAGCCATTTTTTATTTACCATGTTGTTGTACAGAGTTTGATATGCAGGTGAATCCTGAAAAAAAATTTAAAATAATAAAAATTTAAAAAAAATTACCAACTCTAAAATATGGATCATTTTGATATAGTAGAATAATGTACAAAAAATAGAGGTGGATGGAGCATGCTAAATACTTTAATAAACAAAAACTAATTTACAGAATATACGTTGAATATCTTAAGATACTAAATATTTTGAGGACGATCGAATTAATTCGAAATTCGATTAAAATTAATTTCCATAATATCTTTAAGAAATAATATGTAACACGTTATGTTTGGCAAATTTTATTCATTTTGTGTTTAAATAAGTCAATAAAACAAGACAATTTTCTATGGTACGGAACCCTCATTGCGCGAGTCACAATCATACTCACACATTTAAAAATCATTACAGCCCTCAAATTGTTAGTTATAACGTAAAGCCAAAGAGTTTGTTTTTTTTTATAGTTTGAACGCGGGTGAAGCCGCGGGCACTGTTAGTCTTATAATGAACATTTTTCAAAACAATTAACCAAAAGTTTTAATACCTTTTTTAATTAATCTATTATCTATATGAATATTAGTCAAATACATGAAATACATGCAAGTCTAATTAAAATTGAAATTAGAGGTATTTAGTACCATGTGAATCGGAAATTAGTCCAAGACCAATCTCCATCGATCCGATAGCATCATTATGTTTAGATAATCGACCTCCAAACATTAACGATTCTACTGAACTTAGCCTTCCATTCACTCAACAAGTAGTTTTTGCAATTTGGTTACTTTTATCATTTTCTTAGCCTATATAGTATTAAAATTAAAATATATAAACCTTAAAAAACGATATAGTAGATCCTTCCTCCTTAGCCCCATAGGATATTGATTTGAGTTGCTGAAGTTCTTCAACAGTTTCAAAGGGAAGGACGTTTTTTTCGACGGTAAGAAACGCTACCAGCGTTCCCGTATATGAAGCAACCATTACCATAGTGAAAAACCACCAAACACTGGTTATCATTCGAGGCGCTAGCGCACTGTAAGCAAAAATTGATTAAAATATACAGGTGACTATATTATATACTATATATACAATCTTCTCGTATAATTACAAGTACCTGGGCCACCGAGCTGCGCTCGGAGTTTTTTGTCAAAAGTACAATTTTCTTTTAAAAAAACCCAAAAAACTTGAATAAATACAAAAATAAAAAACAAAAATAAATTATACCTTTGTATCCGACCGGGATTCGAACCCGGACACTTATTCAATTTTACGCCTTGGCCTTAATATATATATATATATATATATACAAGAATTTCTCGTTTAAATATATTAGATTTAAGAATTTTTATTGGAACGAAGTTCCTTATCGCGCGTTACATGCTTTGAGCGGATGCGAGCTAGACCGAAAAAAGTGTAATAAGACTTTTTTCCAACACTTCTTGCAATAGTTACAGCCGTGTCCCAAAAATGCCTAGGGATATCCAATAGTAATACTAATTCCTTTTCCCCGCAAAGTCCAATGGGACCATACTTCAACACGACCAGTGAGAGTTAAGGCGAGGAGAATATCTCACGGATAAATGCAGTAATTAAACTTTGCCCGACCCGGGACTCGAACCAAGGACTTCCGGATCGGCAGCCGAGACCACCGAGAGCACTAGACCACCAAGGCAGCTAATTATAAAAAATAAAAGTTAAAGTACTGATATGACCATAAAATTACGATTCTGCGCTGATGGTAATATTCAAACTTACATGGGAGCAATTTCCGAGCCTTGTTGCATCACAGATCCAATAATGAGCCATACAGAGTTTGCAAAACTGAATTGATTGCTCAGTTCCTCTGGCTTTTCTATACACGGGACGGGGTTTTGCCATTCTTTGTGAGAGATCCTACCTACGAAGATCATTATCACACCTAAGCCTAGCTGCACGAACATCATGTAGTACCACACCTAAAAAAAATGTGATTTTATGGCAACGTTTTATAAAGATTGTATGGATTTTCATACTTTTATTAAGTGAAGTATGATCGTAAGTCATCTATGTATATACCTTGCAGGTGAAAGGTAATATTTATTTATTATTTTTATAATCAAATATATTGTAGGTGTGGAAAAAATATTTAGCGATAATTAGAGAGATTCATTAATTTCTTAGCTAAAAATATAGCATAAATAAGATAACAAAAAGATAGACGGGATAATTACCTCTTTAGAAAACACGGCCATAAAGGAAAACATCTCGGGCGGCTGCTTGCTGGGTTGCTTGTAAAGGATTCCTATACCCACAGTCATAAAAGGCACTGAAAAATCTATTCCCTTTTGTCTGTTTGCCGTTATAGTAAAGTCGCATATAGCGAAATCCGCTACCTGTAAATAATATAAATTTTATCATTCTACTTAAATACATGCGAAAATTTGTGTTTCCACAGTGTCTTTGTAGTCAGTGTCCTTCACGCTGAAACAGCTGGACCGATTTGGATGAAATTTATTACAAAGTAACATATAGGCTACTGTTTGTAAAAAACCAAAATAGTAAAAAAATAATTATCTTTGAAGATAGCAGCGGAAAGGATATCGTATGTTGCGGTGTGATTTTAAAGATGTTTCACGTCAAAACGCCTATAGATGGCGCTGCCTGTCTATAAAATTATTAATACAAAAGGCACCCGAACAAAGCCACGGTAAGTTGTTACTTCGGTTTAAAGATGCTTTATTTATTTCTCAAAAGAATAACATTCACTTAATGAGAAAAAATTACAAGTAGGTAGTTGAATATTATTTACATCGTAAAAAACTTAATACAAAACAGAAAAAAAATGTTATAGGTACAGGAACATCAAATATGAGTTCATTAGGTAATAGGATTAATACTTCATAATAATATTACAAATGCATGTTTGTTAATTTGTTACATACATATCCAAAAATCCTAAATGTACTATTTTACACGAGCAGCGAATATATAATTAATAGAAGACAGGCTTGGGCTGGCCAAATGATCGTAGGTAAACAGATTTGACGACACGTTTGGCTCAGTTTGTAGTGACCCTACTTGCTGTACCAGTGGTCGTGGGTTCATTAATTTGTGTGATGAGCACGAATATTTGTACTTCAGTGATGGGTATTTATATTTATAGTATTTATATTGTATGTATTTAAAGTTATATATGTCTAGTGTATCAACTATCTGGTATCCATAACATAAGCATCGTAGCTTACCATGGAACTAGATGGTACTGTGTGTTAATGTCTCAACATATTAATTAATTTATTATTTTATTTAGGTCGATCGACATGATCTAACAATAAGCGTTGATTATCGATATTTCCTTACTTCACTGTATAATTGGAGACGATTTTCATAGTAATATTTTTGTTATGCATATGCATACGTACTTCATGGGTTTTAATAGTTAGGTTCGTACGTATATTATGACATACACGATTGAAATTTCCCTTTATACTAGCCGCTTTTTATTTTATTATTGTTATTGCACGAGCGCATAAACAATAAAAAGGCTTTCGTAGAATTACTGAATACACACATAGAATTCTAACGTTTTTAAATATGACGCAATAATACAATTTTGACTAAAGGAAAGTTACAATGATTTATAAATAAAATAAGTTCAGAAGTTATCCGAGATAGAATTTCTTGGATTTTCTCTGCTTTTATTTATAAAAGCTTAAATTTCTAGTAAATATAGGGTCTACATCAATATCTAATCAAGGATAAACTTTAATCACATTTACCGATTTTATAAAGCTCACGTCGTTTTTCTTCTGTAAATAGGGACTGACTTCTAAAATCTTATCTAATGTTATTTATTCCAATATCTACAACAATAACAAATTATATAATATGATACAATACATACATCTTCACGAAGTTTCTTGACCATTCCATTGGACACATTAGTTAGAGGTTTAAAATCACCGTAAGTATTTTCAACTTCAAATTCATACGAAAAACCCAATAACTCCGCCACTTGGTCTATTAAATCTATAGTGAAACCTTCATAGCGATCATTGCCTTCTAAATGTTGGTGAGACTCCTTTTCATATCCAAACGGGGCAGCCTGAAAGATAAAGACTGCATGGTATGTATTAAAGGTAATATGTGAAATCTGTGAAAGTTAAATTGAATAAAATGCAATTGCGAGAAAGAAGCGATTTACCTAAGTGATTGGCAATATCGAACTGATTGTCAAAATGAAGGTTATGATATTAAGACTTATAGGTATAAATAATATAAACCCGTCTTCTTATAATCTTTGATCTGGCCACTAGATAATTACAAAATGACTAGCGACTTACCCTCGCTCCGCTCGAATTCGTCCCTACGTTACGTTTTAACGTTTAGTATAGATTTCTTAGAGATTAGATATTTTCCCGCAGTAAAAAGTACCTAGTAAATATATGTTGACCCGGATAACCAGTTATCATCAAACTAAATTTCATCAAAATCTGTCCAGTAGTTTTCTCGTGATGCGCTCCCAGACAGACAGATAGACATCAAATGGTAATAGTATATAAACAGTCGCATAAAATATATAAAATATATCATCAAGGATGATAGGTGCATAAGCAAAGCAAAGGTTACTATTTAATTATGAAAAATTGCAGTACGAAAAAAACAATTTTTATACCACCGTAGCAATAAGAACTTTAAAGGTTTTATTTCTCATTATTGTCTCTTCTGCTATTTCAGCGGCTGACATTGGCGGTCGAGATGGCTTTATTTCTTTGTTTATCCACGTACCTATCTGGTGAAGAGTAATACAAGTATTAATCGAATCCGTTATTGAGAATTAATTGCGTTATTGAGAATTTATAGATTTCCTAAAATAAAACTTTATTGTGTTGTGTGTAAAAGTATTCGATATGTTGACCCGGATAATAAGCTATCATTATACCAAATTTCATTAAAATCTGTCCAGTGGTTTTTTCGTGACGCGGTCACAGATAGACAGACAGACAGACAGACAAAAATTCTAAAATCTATAGATTCGGCCTATGTATCTATTTCTATAAGATTTCCAAAAAATATTTAATGTACAGATTCGGCTTAGTTAGAATTTAATTATATGTATAGATAAATGTAAATGTAATTGCACCAGACTTAAGTGATGTAATAGAAAATAAGAGGCAAAAAACCAAGTCAGATGTTTATTTACGGAACGCCTACTTACTATTCATGTACATCACGGCTAAACATATTTCGATAGTCTGAATTATAAAGACAGCTTAATTATATTTATTAAAAGAAAATATTTTGGTTTCGTTTAAGTTTTAATTAAAAGAAAATTAAAAATCGAAAATAGACATTTAGACCCAGTATGATGCGAATGCTAATTTGAACAACAAGTATAACAAGAAATAATGTAAGTTAAAGACTACAGTTATATCATTGGTAGAGTACAGATAACTAATTTTTAGTGTAGGTAAAATCGTCTTCTCAATCCTTGATAATTCTCAGAAAACTGTTTACACGTCACATACAAAGGATGAATACGGATTATTAGGGATCATTACAAGATAACTGAAATATATTGAAAGGAAGTAAAGAGTGGCAAAGACTGTTTACTTCGTGATTCACATAATTTATGCGTACATTGCCTACGCAGGGATCTTTTATAGCTCAAGTGTCTATCTTTCAGCTATCAAAGTAAAACTCTTGCAAAAGAGATCCATGTGGGCGACATTGTAAGTTGTAGCCCTATCCATCGTTCTAAATGTTTGTCGTATCTATTCATAAAATAAAATATCGAATGAATTTAAGATTGTCAGTAGGTACATTGAACTTTTTCAGTTTAGAAAATTTTCGTCCAACTAGTTATTTTGGATGGATTTGGACCTGTGATGTGATGTGGTGAATAATATTTTAGCTTTTTTGTTTTCATTTGTTAAAATAATGTAAATCTAATTAAAATTATCTATCTACTGATGATGTATATATATATATATATATATATATATATATATATATATATATATATATATATATAATTTCATTACTGTCTGATTTCCCGCTGGCGTCAACTCCAGTATGTCCATGATGACGTTGTTTCTCTGTCCAAACCCATCAAATATTAAGGATCGAGTTGCACCTTCAATTTTATTCTGAAAAAAAAATTAAGACTGTAATAAAAAAAATTTAAACGTACTTGTCGACTTTTAATAAAAAAAAATACTTCGGCTATACAGTCTAGTAACCCCCCCAACGTGCGTTCACCTTGTCGTGGTGGGGGGGCTCAGTAGTGCCCGGCAACCCAACCGGGCGCGAAACCAAGAAACGCACAGGGAGGTGGCCCACTTCGGTGGGCGGTGGGAGGTGGCCCTCTTCGGAGGGCGGTGTACCATGCGGGTTGCTCCTGGTACTTCTCTGATAGCAGAGTGGACTGTGGAGCAACCCCGTGGTTGTTGTGGTCTGCTTGGGCAGACCTGCCGTCGGGGCGTCGTAGTTGAATATAGAAATAATTTAACATTGTGTATTTTTCTTTGGAAATTAACTATACATACCGTTTTCATAAAAGTGATCAATGAAGATCCATAAAACCATGCTTCAGCGTTGTTACAACTTAGACTACTAATCGTTACATTGACTTTAGATAGTCCTTTATATAAAACAAAGATAGCATCGTGAATGAGGATGAGTTTTGTTTTAAGTGTCTCTGCACTTTCAGATTGTTCCGATTCTTTGTTATAAAGATCAGTAAATTCATACAAAATGTCATTATTAAACAGATTTACTAAACGAAATCCTGAAATATATTAATATATATAAATTATGTGTACAAAACTTTAAATTTATATTAGAATTGAAATTAATTTATAGTAATATTGTACACCTCATCCTGACTATAATTTTAAAAAGTGGAAGTGAGTATAGTTTGCTATTTTTATAAGGATCATATAATTACTCTGTGACCAGAGAAAACCCTTTTAAAACAAAAAATAACTTAGAAATGGTGTGATTGTTTCTAGGTTATTTGAAAGTTAGAGAAATATTTTGATTAAAAATTTTATGAAAAAAGTATAGAACGTTGTTACTCTGGCTGAGTTTCTTTCATCAGTTTTTCTAAGGACTAAGGTATTTTCCAGATTGATAGTAAGTAAACATTATGCGTTCACTAAGAATTATAATAACTTAATACTGCATAATAGTTATAGCGACGACACGTTTGGCTCAGTTTGTAGTACTTACTGTGCCAGCGGTCGCGGGTTCGAGTCCCGTTGGGGGCATTCGTTTATGTAATGAGCAAGAATGCTTGTACTCCACTCATGGGTATTTAAATTTATAATATGTATGTGTTTAATGTTATATACAATTAGTGTATCAACTATCTGGTATCCAGTACCTTACCCTGGAACTAGACGGTGCTGCGTGTTAATGTCACAACATATTTATTTATAGTAGTAGACTAGTAAAATATATTTACCAGTGATGTTAACACCGCCATATCTATATCGATATAAATCCAAAGTAAATAGATCGGGAGACACAAATATGTAAGAATGTTCATCTGCCATAAGACCGACTTGTTGTGCGTGGCTCAAAATCTGTTCTAAATTTTCTGAAGGACAGTCCACAACAAAGTTGGTAAAACCATTTTGCTTTGCATTTATTAATACGTTCCTGAAAATAAAATACACAAAGTTTAAAAAAAAGAATTAAAACTTTTTTTTTTCAAGCTTAAATTGAGCAAGAATTTGCTGTGTCATTGCTAAGAATGAACGTGCCAGGAACAACTAACACACTGAAAACTAAGTAAGGTTCCACAGACAACCGTGGAGTATTGTGGCATAATATGTCTTCTAATAATATCTTCTACGGTAAAGTTCGTGTTTTTATTATATCTCTATAAAAGAAATGTTAAAATATGTATCGACTAGCGACACACCCTAGCCTCACTCTGGTTCGTCCCTAAGTACGTTTTACCGGTTCGTATGGAATAGATAGTCAATCCCTTGCTCTGCGGAATACAAAAAGAAATCTATCCCACGGAAACCGTACATTTTTCCGGGATAAAAAACCTATGTGCTATACCAGATAATCTATCTCTGTGCCAAAATTACATCCAGATCCATTTAGGATTTTATCTAATCCGTATCATCTCAATCATCCAAAACAGAACTATCCTCGAGCGAGCAGAAATAACTCGAAAAATATATGTACTTAAGTAAGCACAATATAATTTGACAATCTTTTCAATTATATTTTTTTCTAGCGATTCACCCTCGCTTCACTCACAAACTTAAATACATTTATAATATTAGTATGGATATGGATATTAATATGTGTTCTGTTTATTTCAATTTTAGCAAGCTAACAACAATTTACCTGTAGTCTTTTCCACTTAATTCTCGTACCGTGACGGTAAACTTGTCTGATGGCTCGCCCATTTTCATCAAATGTTGAACTTTTGTCAAACTGTGACCTTTTACATACAATATCGTAAAATTCCTCCACTCTTTCATTGTTATTAAATTTGATAAAACCTGTGAAAATGTGTTTTATTTATTTTGTACACGTGTTAAGTACAAAAGCAAGAATGTCTCTTTCGTTTCGATAAACTTCAGAAACTATATATTTAGGGAGATATTGCTCAGTTTAATTTAATCATATAAAAATACAATTATTTCTTTAATAAACGAGTATACTACAACTGTGCCTAACTCTGTATTTAATCATTAAAAGTTTTTAAAATAAGTGGCTAGTATCTTTATATAAATTAAAACATACCATATTAAAGGCCGCGGGACTTGGATATAAGTTCAGAAGTGTCCAGTCTTTCATATAATGGTCGTTATGTTGTACGACCATGAGAGGCAAGTCGAGCATATCACAAAGTGCATGGATGTGTTCAGTCGCCTTACCCCCCAGACCGTCTATTATTCCGACTATGCCTTGCTAGAATATTAAGTGATTTTAAAGTATAAAATATATATTATATAAATTGATGAATGGATGTATGATGATAATTCGTATCTAGGTTGAAAATATATTATACTAGCTTTGTCCTACGGGTTGTCCAGTTTATAACTTTTAAACGTAGCCTTGCATCTTATGGCGCTTTGACTTTTATTTAACTACTAGTACATACATATATATGAATGAAATGAAATAAAATAAACTTTATTCAATTAGACTTATTACAAGTGCATTTGAATTATATTTGTAAATAGGTATACATTTATTCATATATGTAAATGTTATTATTTAATCTATTCTATAATATTATACAGAGGTAAAGTTTGTGACGTTGTAGGGGGTTTGTGAGTTTGTGATGTTGTAGGGGGTAATCTCTGGATCTACTAAACCGATTTAGATGAAATTTGGTAAAAAGATACTTTGAGAACCTGGGAAGGACATAGGGTACTCTTTATTCCGAAAATCATCCCCTGAGGGGGTGGAAATTGGGATGAAATTTTAATGGGGAATCAAGCTAGGGACGAACCCGAGCGAGGCGAGGGTGAGTCGCTAGTAATTTATAAAATTAAACATTTATAAAATAAATATAAAATTTAATATTTTTATACTTATTCATAGAGAAAATAGCCGTGAAAAGTAAATTTAATACTTCTTACTTCAGCGAGGTTGCATACGTGTCCAGTTATCTCGAGAATTTCTCCTCTTTTGGTGACCTCTTTTATTATTGGCGTAAAGTTGTAATACGTAGCGCTTACGTTGAAAGCGATTTTAAGGCTTTCATCGCTTGCATAGAAAAGACCACCTAAAATTCAACAAAATTAAATTTATTTTTTGCAATCAAATAGAAATATTATAGAAATTTTTAAATCATAATAAAGAACTAACTGAAACGTTCTACTTGAGAAATAACAATACATACCAACAATTGGATAATCCGATAAAACACATTTTGTCATAGCTAACGCTATAAATAATATTCTCACCAACATTATTATCTGCCACTTCAATCTTCGGCACAACATAAAGACATATTGAAATGTATATATATAAGGAACACTTAAGGCATTAGATGAACTATATATTACTTATAAGCACGTTCACTTTCTTTTCATTTGCATAATAAACGTTCTAAGCTCATACCGGCAATCGGTAATGTGTTTAGATTTCGGGACGCGACACGCGGCGTCAGAAATAATCCCGACACTATATTTAGGTCGAGCTTTTCCACAAATGACATACTTCGTTGAGATGCTGCGTACTGGAATTCAAACTTCCTATTAAATATTTCATCTATGATTAATAAATGCCTGTTATGCATAATAAAGTAATATCAAATTAAATTGAGCAGAGGCTTATTTATTAATGCAAAACGTTCTTGGAACTATTTTATGTATAAAGTTTATAGCTACTTTTTTCTTTATATTTTTTTAATCTTATAATATTTAAAAATATTGGATTAATTTTTGCGAGAGGAGATTTTGTCTTGTATGCCGTAGAAGAATGTATAATTTGCAAAAACTTTCAATTTTTTTTCAGAATATATAATATAGTAGGTAAGTAACCTTACGTTCTGTTATATGTACCTATAGGTACCTACCTACGACTCCATTCTTTCATATATTTCTTTTTAGTTCATAAACCTGCTATTGTATCAATATACATATCCTCTTTTATTTGAAAATATACAAAACGTATAAAGTCAAACTTATATCATATTATTATCTATAGATGTACACTATCGACCTATACAAACATTATATTTATCAACAATAATAATTTAACCATTAGTATTTGAGTTATCATGACAAGTATAAAGTAAATCTAAAAATGTAAGATACACTTGTGTTATTGCACAATAGATACTCACTTTGTTTGTTTGTGCGATATTACTTTTATGAGGATTAATTAGGTACCTACTGAAGATGAAAGTGTTGTTATACCTAGATAAAAATGTTTATCCTATTCTGGTCGAGATGAAACGTGATATGAATTCGATGCAAAACAACAAAGCAGTATCGACTAAATCCATACTTATACTTACTATAATATTATAATTTCATGTGAAAGTGAGTTTGTTTGTTTGTGTTTTTTGTTTGTTTGTTTGTCCTTCGTTCACGTCGAAACAGAGTGACGGATTTGCATATTTTTTGAGATAGTTGAAGGGCTGGAGAGTGACATCTTACCGCGGGAGATTATGTTAATTAATCCCACTGGAAAATAAGTTTTAATAAAATCCAAAAAAAAATGTATGATCAGAATTACTTGAAACTTGATATTAATGCTATTCAATACAATTAAATAAATACGTGTTTTAGCATTTTTCGAAATTCATCCCATGAAGGCGTAAAAAGGAGATGAAAGTTTGTATGAAACGTATCTTTTTAGAGTTTCTTCTTCTAGTTTTATCGCGAGCAAAGCCGCGGGTTCTGTTAGTAAGAGTACCTATAATCTGTATACTTTACTAGGAAAGGAAAACGTCTACCCAGTAAATATAAAAGAAAGGAAATTCAAAAACTTGTTTGTTTTAACTTGTTAAAAATGTTTCACTCATTTAAATTTTAATTACGTAAGTGGATCATATATAAACCTATTTTTGTATTGATTTCCTAAAGGCAATAATAATTTATTAGTAGTGCGTTTTTGGTGGCCTCAATAAATACAGGATGGAAATTCTCAATGGCGTAATTGATGAAACTCCATTAAATATTTACGATTATGATTTTAAGAGTTTGCTACTCGTAGAGTAAGTTGTAGGTATGACCACAGTTCTTAGCTGATACTTTGAAGAATAGGTATTAGTGTAAAGTATGTATTTAAAACAATACAAAAATACTTGTTTTAAATTTCATCGCCTTTAATGTATAACAATATTAATATTATATTATCTATAATAAATATATATTTTAATTGGTATTTAAAATAGTATAGTGTTAGTCCACTACTGCAAAAGTAGTACTATTTCAGTAGAACTTGAGTAGATTTCCTGAAAAACTGGCTTCCTTCCTTGAAATATTTAAACTTATTAAATTATGAAGTAAAAAGCAGATTTATTTTTCATCTCATATGGCATTTTTACTTATTTTACGAAATGCGTTTTTTTATTAACTATTATAAATATTTAGTAGATACCCCTATTATTAAAAATAGAATAAATATCAATTACCATGTTTTACAAAGCAGAAATGATCTGCTTTTAAGGAAAATATATTATATTTTATTAGAAGGCAATTTATAGATTGATATAAGCAATTTCGTTGACACTACCGTAATGATGTTTTTCGACGATTTGCTATAATACAAACAAACAATGTGACGCTTTAAGTTCAGCAGTAGGTAGCTATTTAGTTTTACATTTTTTAAGCATCTTCACTATTCCGTGTAGTAATAGATTTTGCGTACTTATTGAAACTTGAAATTATAGGTATATTTAAGTAGATCCATATATTTTAACTACTTCCTTTTAATTTATTTTAATAGCAATCATATATTTTATAGAAATATATTTTACACACTTTCATGAAAACGTGTCTTAAACACAATAAGAAAATTAAATAATATTTAAAAAAAAACATTAATTAAAGTCAATTAGCATATTGTTAATGCCAACTTATTATACTAGATACTTAAATAGTTATTTTGACTTAACAAAAATTAAAAATATTTGAGCTTCCAATTCTTTCCATTTATTCCATTACAAAAATGTTATTTATTTTATTGTAAAAAGCTCGCAATTAATACAAATTTAGTTTGACTATAGAATACTTAACAATACACGCGGTATTACTAAAATTGCCGATATTCTTATTTATATTTGACGATGCTTTTACCAGTACTGTAAATAAAAAAGGTGAAATTGAGTTTAGCTACCTTTGTTAATGGCAAAAAGAAATGACAGTTCTCCGGTATTTGAATCTTGTCATAAATATTTTGCCTAAAATTATTTTATACATTTGGTAACATTAGTATAAAAGACGGGTAGAAATAATACAGTTAAAAATATTACCTACAAACATTGATCATTTTTAAGTCCATTCGTGATATATCTTACTCAGTAACAAGTATTCATATATGAAGGGTTGACTTTGTGTTTGGGAAGCGCCTACTTTAAAATTCTTCTATTAAATAACTTTCATTGATGAATTTAAAGTCTTTTTATTATGTTTTACCTTTTTGTTCTTTAAGCTCGTTTTACACTTTTTTAAGTTCTAATTTATTAATGTGTTATTTTGTTCCTAATACGATAAGCTATTTTATTAAGAAAAAGTCCTTAATCGACACTAAACAGCGATTCCTGATAAAACGTAGACGAGCTCTAAACCACATTTCCAAGAAAGTCAATTAATATAAAACTTTTAATACTTTGATTGCTATAACACTCGTAAGTATATGAAATACGCCATAAAAATATCATAATATTAAAATTAGCATACAATTGAAACTTGCTGTATTATTTCCCAACACTTGTAGTAACATCGAAACAATAAAACGGTCTGTTTAGTTAACACGATTGAGTTACCTTTGAGTCTAGAACATTAAGTACACGTATTAAGGTCAAGCCACTAGTGGCCGGGAACCGTTCAATTTTATTTTACACAAGCACCTTCCTTGTGGTAAAAGCGTCGTTAGGACCGAGATGGCTATTATTGTCATCTCATAACAATCGTATAGTATTTTATTTATATGTTTAGTTGTTTAGAATCGTTTTAAAAGATTCTGTATTATTGTCATATCTGGAATTAAATATTATATTCTACCGACTTTTCTTGTATATTTGTCTCTTATTACTGATAAATATAACGATTAATAATATATTTAATCGGAGAATATTCTTGGATATTTTTAATGATACTTAATTGTACTTTCTCAGTTAAGATAATTAAGTGAAAATACGATGGATGCGTAGGAAGCTATTAGTACTGTTCCATTTAAAGAGTTCTTTAAAAATATTATCTCGTTAAAAGTGCAGTGTAGCTTCCGCCCACACAGAGCAAGGCACTAAATGTTATAGTTTATATCGACTTTTAGTTAACTTATTTATATTGAAACACAATTTACAATATGATATAGAAAATATATGTTTATTAATCAAAATATACTTATAAAAGAAATGTGTTTTAGCAAAATATGCCACACGAAATTTCTATTTCAACAATACATCTTTTTTTCTCGTATCAAAATATTACATTTGTTAAATAATTCCTATAAATTGCTCATGTTTACTTGAATATGGGTTATAATTTCGTTCTGCTCAAGATAAAAGTGTCTAGGAACGAAGCATAAAGTGAATTGATTGTAATATAATGAAAGTTTTTTATTTCAACTTTTTTCATGTTTTATGTCTTCAATGACAGATAACATATTTTGCTTATTTAAGTTTCGTAATATAAATTTTACAGTCCTGCAAAGAAAATGAGCACTCTCAGCTTATTTTGTAAATCAAATTGAAGCGTTTTCTTCGCACGCGATGATTTTATGAAGCCGTAAATATAAACTGACTGATACATAAATAGTGTATTATGAAAGATAATCTATGTTATACCAAGTGGTAGATCAAATTTGCAAGCAAATAGAAATAGATCGTTCTCATATAAAGTCAGCGACCCTCGACTCCTCCACAAAATAAAATCGAAATAAATACTGGAGTCATAAAGTGTTTTTATTTATTGACCGCTCAAAATGTCCATCTTAAATGTAGGTTTTATTGGACATCTGCTGCTGGTTATGAAAACTGTATGGTTGTGTATATATGGTTGTGTCTACATTAAGTAAACCTAAGGCTTTAATACTCAACATATTCGATGTTGTAGGCAGTTGTAGCCCAGTGGTAACGCGCTCGCTCGGGAAACACAGTGAAGCGGATTCAAATACCGCTGATATTTTCTCGTGCGAATTATTTCCAACATGATTACCACTTATCTTAACGGTGAAGGAAAATATCGTGAATAAACCTGAATGTCTGAGAGAACCTAGCAAGTTTTCAAAAAACATG